AGAATCGGATTGGTTATATTTAATTAACTTTTTTTTTTTTTTTTTTTTTTTTTTTTTTTACTATGAATCAAAACTTTTTAACAAAAAAAAAAAAATTTGGAGAAAATGAGTTATATTTAAAGATTTAAAATATTTTGAGCAACATTCTTAAATAATTCGGTTGGTCCTTTTGTGTGTTTAATAAATAAAAAAACTGCAGTCACAATATAATTCTTATAGTTCACTGGTACGTACGTACCTACATGCTAGTACGATGCCTCGCACAAAAAAAATAGAACGCCAATACAGTATATATAGTATACATATATATATGTATGAATATATATATATATATATATTATTAAATTTCATATCACGATGAATGAAAAATAGATCAAATACGTGCAACTGGACGCCATAAATTTAGGGATAGTTCGTTTTATTAGATTCTGTATACTCTAATATGTAAATTGAAACCAGAATGACTAGCTTCCAAGAAAAAACAAAATAAAAATAAATAAAAGTAAAAATAATTACACTAATCTATAATCTATTATAAATATAATTAGATATATATAACCCAATAAAAAACATTGGTTTAAAACCCTTAAAACCAATATCATTTTTGTTTAGTAATAGGAACAAAAACTTGACCTCAAAAAGACTAAATCATCTACAATTATTAAAAGAAACCATTAAGACTCACGTTAGAGTTACTAGTTGCATGGTAAAAAATTATTCAAAGAATCAAACGAATCAAGTGGATGCCCATCAGTTATTAATATTATGATTGGTATAATTAGCACATAAATGCGAGTTTATCTTTGATAGTGAACAAGATTAATCTTATCCCTCGTTTTATATCAATCTAATAAAACCAGGTCATGTGGTTGACACACAAGGGGTTGGACAACAAAGATGGATTAGAACTAAAAATCTTTGAAATTCTATTTATAATACTACTATAATAACGAGAGTATTGATGCTAAGGAAGTTGATATTAATGGGTAGAGTGTCCGGGGTGCTGTTGCTCTAACTGAAAAATTCTGCTACAATTATCGTAATTATCGTAATTATATATCGTAATTAGCAAATTTCTACGGTGACGTATAAATAATACTTTAAAAACAAAATTCCAACAAAAAGAAAATTCTAATTTGGTCACAATAGTCTATATTCACCAATGATTTTTATTCTGCTCGCAGAATTCTGTACAAATTCTGCGCAGATTCTGCCCGAAGTACCCTGGACACTCTATTAACGGGGTAGATTGTATCACCTGAATTCTCATTTAAACCTCTATTTCCATAATTTTAGTAATACCGAATGTATTTAATGTTTGAAATTTATTGTAATTTATATTAAAAGAGGAAAATTCAAGGAATTTAAAACTCTAAATATACATATACAAAATTTTCAACATATAGTCAAGATGATGATAATATTATGTAATTCCTTTGCTATGAGAGCTTCCAAATGTGGAATTTATTAAACGGCTTTTTAATACGCAAATATCGATTTACTTTTTTGAAAAGAATGAATCTTTCACGCTTCTGTGTTCTTTTATTGAGATACATTTATGGAAATCATCGTTCTATATAAAGGAATAAAATCTGATGTTACGTACTATTTTGTAGACGTGTTGTATCCATACTTGTATTACATCTTATCGTTATAGTTTAACGTTAATTAGATTATAATTTTTTTGCGTAACATGACGCGGACTTTAGAGTCCGTAAAAATAATTTCATATAGCCTTTTCGTTCATTTTATTTACTGTTTTCTTCGTTTTTGAAGGAAATGTTGAGAGTATTACCAAAATGACACTAGAGTCCCAAAAAAAGCAGAAAACCTATAAATCTTTACAGAAAGACTCAGAAATACCACAGAATCAAATAAACAACCAACAATTACAAAAAGAATTAAAGACATGTATGAATGAGCTTTCTAATGAAACACCACAGAATCAAATAAACAACCAACAAAAAGAATTAAAGTCATATATGAATGAGCTTTCTGATGAAATAAAGATCAGGATTTTTAAGTTTGTTCAATTCCCTTTAAGCTTGCTTTTGACATGTAAATTGTGGTATTATATATCCATGGATTGTCAGGCGAGAGGGGAATGGATTATATACAATTACGGCAAAGCGCATGCACTTTTTCATGCAATAAGACTCGGTCCAAACTTTATTAATGTGGGAGTAGTTCAAATTATAATTGCTAAAGATGGTATCATTTCCCGCTATTTCATTCAAAGATTACTAATGCACTTTGGATCATATGATCAAACTTTACTCGATATGAAGCGTGATTATAGTAGAGGACTCGGTAATACTGATCAAGCACAGAATTCGCAAACACCTAAAGCACCCTGGGCTAGTGACACACCTATTTCTGTCTTTACCTTTCTTTTAAATGAGGCATCAAGAAAGTTAAAAACCTTAGATCTTGTAGCTAAAGGAAATGATATGGAATTATTTCACTTTCTAAGTGCTGGCCCTCATATCATTTCTCAAGCAAGACAAAAATTGAAAAATAATTTTGAATCACTTAAAGAATTAATTTTGCGTTGGAAATTTATTCCCTTTCCTCCGAGACCAAAATCGAAACAAGTTGAAAATTTACAAAATAATGTTACTGAAGAATATCCTCCTAAGGACGGTTGTGAGAACAATAGACAGCTTAATGTTATCGCCCGTGCCATATTAATTTGTAAAGATCTAGTAAACCTGTGGAAAGAAATAGGATACTACGAAATTGTTCATGATGTAAATGATTTAGTAATGCAGGGCGCTGTCTTGATCCTCTTCCCTCCCACTCCAACATATGATTGGGTTAGGCCAGATACAAAAGGTGTGATCCAAAGGCTTTCAGAACTAATTGAACTCGGATTTGACCTGTCTCATTTAGTGATTCTAGATATACTACAGCTCTTTGAACATAGATTGAGTGACATTGGCAAAACTATAATGGATTCCTTTGTTAAGATTAGATGTCGAACAGATGAAACTCAGTCTAAATTTTATATAGATATTTTAACTGGTGCAATTGATCCAGAACGGAATATGAAAACAACTAATTTATGGGATTTTTTACGTTCGTACATTGGTGAAAAAAATGATCATTATTTTCTTAAAGCAATGAAGTATTATTATGGTAAAGGTAATTTTACTATTAAGAACGTTACAAGTATGGAGAGAAAACTTTTATTATCTCCAAAATATTATAACTGGGTACTGTTAAACTTTAAATCCCATCCAAAAGTAATATTTGAGTCCTTTAACGATATTTTAGCAACCCGGGTTAGTATAGACATAAATCTTCAGGAAAACAATGTCACCAATGAAACCAATTCAATGATATGTGATACATTCAAGGTATATTGTCAAACCTATTGTTATACCGAAGGATTCTTTTTACCTTCACAATTAAAAATTATTAGTAAAGCCGCAAGTGAAGATATACTTGACCCGTTATTTAAATGTTATTTGCATATGGTGTTTGAAATTAAACCACCGGAAAGAAGTGATGATATGAACCAGGATGACAAGCTCAAGGTGGAAAACGCAACCTTAGTGCATAATCAAGCGCCAATAGCAATTGATTTTTCTAAAAATGAGTCACAAGATTATCCAAAACAAGTAGAAACAATGACTCTACAAAATGAAACAGCGGCAATAACTGAGGATATTCCTATAAAGGAAAATGACACTAAAAGGAAATTACAAGAGCAATGGTATAAAGAATTGAAAAAATACAATGACAGAACTTTTGACATACCAAGTAAGTTCAATCTTTATCTAAGAGAATTCTGGAAAATCCTTATCGAAACAGAGATTGGTAGAGAATTGAGAGAGAGGGAAAAAGATATTGAGAAGTCATCTAATCCTCGAGTAAAAAAAAGAAATTGGAAATAAAATCAATATAATTCAGGGAAGCATCGAAAGATGTCTCCCAATTCAGCCAATTCAGAAAGTAATCGGAAAAAGATTGAATCGGTTCGAAAAAAATGCTCAAGACAATCAAATAGAAATGATTTATGATTCCGCAATTTTTTAAGTTTTTTTACCGATTACCCACAGGACCACAAGATTGCGTTAACGACAATATGGCCTCTATACTATATGCACACCTTAACTTTATAAACGATCCATAGAGTCTTAGTATACAATTATTAGTTTTTTTTTTTTTTTACGCCATTGGGGGTTTTTTTTTTTTAATCTTTTTGAGATTAACGTAGATTTTCACCACTTTATTTTCTTTTTTTTTTTCTTCATCAAAATAAACCATTATTCATAGTTAAAATATACACATAAATATGCAAACAACAACTACAGTCTATCGTTTTGAACAGAATGAAAAGAGCACACAACATCAAGATAAGGTGTGGTACACAACTTTTATTCTTTAACGAGATTATACGTATATATCATTATTTACATTGCCACTTCTTTTAACTAACTATTAAAACACTCCTACATTTTATTTTAATATGAAGGTATGATAAAAAACAAAAGAAAATTTAATCTTTTAAAGAGGTAAGTACAATTTGAGAAATGTAATAAAAAGTTAACAGACATTTCTAACGCTAAGAGGTTTTTTCCCATATATATACATAGCGACAGGTATCGATACGTATACGTACGTACAAACATTACGTATATCAACGCTAACGCTAAGTGGCAAATATTTACAAATTTGTATTGCATATTTCTGTATTATGCACTTGTATTCTGAAATACGTAACTGAAATCATATCATTTAGTAACTGCGCTAAGTGACAAATCACATTTATGGCAAATGTCCATATACCGGAATCAATTCTGCTTACTAAAATAATTTTATTACGGAGTCCCAACAGATTCTTACCAATCCAATTAGTTCACAAGGTAATTTTTTTTCTAAAAGAAAATCATTTTTTAAAAAAAATTTATTAATTTTATTTTATTAAATTTTATTTAAAAAAAAAAAAAAAAAAAAAACCTTTTTTGCATCATAAAAGGTAATTTTATAAAAAGGATTTACTACGTGAAAATCTTGGAAAATCGGGTTCGTTTTTTTTCTTCGAAAATTCTACAAAATTTCTACTTCCTAACTCATGTTCATTTTCTTCCGATACATTATAGCATATTGGTGCACTATTGTTCTTGAATGAAAGATAATATGAAAAAAAGAGACAACAAGAATTAGTGGAATGTTTAACAAGAACTTCAAAAAATTATGCAGCTTACCATTATTATAGCACACTATGTTGCAGAATCGTGCATACTGTTGACGTCCGCTTATACTGTATGTAACTCGAATCTATGGATTTATTCATATTCATTTAAAGTAAATTTGAATACAGTTCGGAGAAGTTTCTGCAACGAAAAAAAAAAGGGTTCTATTAAACCAATATGGAAGATTGCTGTATACAATTTTAAGACGAAACAGGAGATATTATCATTCGATTTTGTTTGATTTTATAAGATGATTAACCCCACAGAATATACATAGAATTCGTGGGTAATTTGAAATTCCGTGCGGAATCTTCCGAAGATGCGGACATTTCCGTACGTACGTACGTAGTAGACTTGAAATACACATTTGTGCCCATTCTTAGGTATGTATGTATGCGAATCTTTTTTTTATATAGATTTGCACATATAATGGAGTTTAAATATTCAGGTTTTTAATATACAAAAATATACCGTTTATTTTTGGATTAGTCCAGATTGATCCAATTGGCTTAACTAATCATAATTTCATAAAAATTTGGCTGAAGCTAAAATTTCAAATTGGACACTCCGAATCTCAGACCAATCGTTTGTTGTTTTCAAAAATACGTATCGGTATGGTAGCCGGAAATATCTTTTTTCAATTTTTTAAAATCCTATTAATCCGACATGAAAGCAAAAAAATTTTTCCAAAAACCTACAAATAATCTAGTAGAATTGAGAAAAAAATTTTTGCATCTATTCCTATTTAATAGATTTTTAAATTGAACTGGTTTTCAGGCACCATTATCAATTCTACGTTTTGATAACACAAAATATTCAAACTCTTGATTTTTATGATTTAAATTGCAGGTGCATTAAACTCTATCTTGCTTAAACCTTGGCAGTAAATTGAGCAAGATATTAAAGTTTAAGAAAAAAAAAAGATCAATATTTTTACTTTAAAATTTTATATTATATTTATATTATAAACTATTTTAATTTCAAAATAAGGCAATGTAGAGTATATACTGCAAATAGTATCTCGAATCTCTTACAATCTTAGGACACCTATATAATAAGATGGTGTAATTTAATATTACTATAAAGTGATTGCTCATTCGGAGATAATCAGAGACTATTTTCCGAAATAATTAATAGTGGTTGGGTGCTTTAAATATAATTGTTAGCATACAAAAAGAAAAAAAATATATCAATGATTGTACTTTAAAGGAGCAGGCTGACCACTCCGAGGTACGTCAATACTGAATGAATTTTGGGTTCTTGGCATTTTAATGCAATTCATTCAATAACAGTCCCTTACAACTAAGTATGACGAAAGTTCTTTTTTATTTCTATTGAAAAACAACAAACTTTTTTATTGTTACATATACATAATAGTTGTTTCGGTATGTTAACCGTAGGTTACCAGTCATAGAAAGACTGTCATATGATTGGCTGTTTAAATCAATTTACATGTATTTTTAAAAAAAATAAAATAAAACTACATAGAATAAATAAAAAAAAGGTATATTGAAAGTTTTATTAAGGTTGTAGGACTCTACAATTGAAAATAATCAAAATCCCCTTTTATTTTAGAGAAGTTAGCATGATAACCTAATTCTATCTATTTTTCCAGAAGTCGTTATTATGCTAACTTCTCTAAAACAAAAAGGATTCTTATTTTTAATAGTGGGATTTTACGACCCTAATAAACTTTCTATATACTTTTTATTTATTCTTTGTAGTTTTTTTTTTAAAAAAAGTACTTTAAACTGTATAAATA